AAAAAAAAGGGTTTTAAGATGGGAGAATAGGGTCATGGAGAGTTGGAGAAGGACCTCGGCTACACAGAATAAGGAATCCCTCAGATGAACTAACTTAATGAAGTTCCAGTTTGGCCTTCTGAGTATTTTATTACAGTGTTTTTTTTTTAATTAAGGATCTATTTTGGTTTTTTCTTTTTCTTTCTTCCCCCATCTGCAGATAAACCCATATAGTATTTTTATTTAGAATGAAATGTTTGACTACACTGCTACATGACGTGATCTGGATTAACGAAGGGTTTTTTTCCTCAGTGTTCAGTATAACAAAATAACTGGTGTTGGAGCCCAGCAGCTGACGGAGAGCCTACGAAAATGTCCCCATATAAAGAACTTGGTGTAAGTCTCTTGATATGCTGTTTGCTGTATCTCCGTTCTGTAAATTGGGTTAGAATTAATGCTAAAGCTGTGTTCTGTATCTGTCAGATTTATAAGAGGCACAAAAAAAGACATCACCAAAAATACAAACGCAGTCACAGAAATGTTAACAATGTTGTCTCTGGTTTCAGCTGCACCAGTTCCCTGTTCTCCCAGGCAAGCTGCTTGTCCTGCTTTAAGCACAGCTTACATTGAGCCTCCCTTTGTTCCTCCTCTAGCCTACCCGAGTACCTGATCCGCTCTGTGCCGCAGGGCTTGTGTTTGAAGGAAAAACAGCGAGCAGCCATCGTCAGCGGTTGAACAGACTGAAGCTGCCAGCATGCATTCAGCGGAAGGGAGCTTGGTAGAAAGCTGAGGAGCAGTTCTGGAGACGGGACTGTAGTGTGCCCCATAACCAGTCTGCCGGGGAGTGAACTGCTTGCTTCTAAATGAAAATGCATTTTCATTTGTGCCATAGCTTAAATACTTTTATAGAATGATATTCAAAAAGGAAAGGCAGCTTAAAAAAAACCAACCAAACAAAAACCACCACAATATGCCACAAACGCACCAAACACACCAGAAAAACTGAAGCAAATTACGCATCTTAAAATCTCTTTCGTTTCTGAATTTGCCCTCACAGGATGTGGAATCCCACCATTCCCTACGGAGTTCTCGAACACCTCCAGCAGCTGGACTCTAGGATCAGCGTGTAGAGTCAGATGATCCCATAAAGGTAACGTAAGCCCTGGCTCCCTGAGAGAACACAGTCGGGTTTTGTGGCAGCTGTGGACTCCGGTCTCGCTGGCAGCAGGCATGGGAACAGCCTCAGCGTGTACGCGGCTAAGTGACGAGACACGGCCCTAGAGGGGCACAGGCCAGCATCGCACCCGGCCCCTTTCCCACTCACCTGGCATCCCCGGCACCAGCACTAGCAGGCTGCCAGAGCCGCATCAACCAGAACGGACTGCTCCTAGGACTCCCAGTTCTGCTCAGTTCGGTGACAGGCTGCTGGCCCGCTTCCCTTCCCTGTTCTGTTGCGGAAAACTAAACAGCTCCGTGGACTTCTCCTGTTTAATAGATGAGTTCTGTACTCCTTAGGTTGTTTTGTGCTGATCTTCACTAAGTCCTTTCACTTTTCCCTTGTTTAATACAAATCCTCAACAGCTGCTTGTCTCACCATGAAGCTGTGCCTATACTGTACTCAGAGCAAACCGTTCCTTGTTCTCGGTCTGGTTCATGTAGTTTAGCCACCGGCAGCCACTTTTAATTCATTGATTCTGCCTGCACAGTTTCAAGGCAGAAATAACTGCGTCGTTGGCAATTCGCTAACATTTTGCTGATGATCACCAGGATCTGACTGCCTTGACGCTCCTGGACTGAAGGAGCTGCAGCGGGCACGGGATTAGGGTTAGGGTTTTATGTACGGTTTCTGCTCCCAATTTTCTGCCACGTGCTTCCTCTTGCTCTTA